CCCCTTGCAGTGGAGAGCTCTGTGGGCCCGCACCCCGGGGCTGGCAGGTGAGCCCTGAGCCAGTGCAGCCCCGGCTCCCACCCCAGCCGAGTCCCTCCGAGCGCTCTGATTGATTGTGCCTTGGGTGTGCATGGGAAGGTGGGCTGGGCAGCAAAGCGGAGTTGCTGGTGCGGCACCGGCTTGGAGGGGCAGCTGAGTTAGTCCCGTTGCTCTGGGTGCGGGCAGAGCTCTGGTCTAGCCCAGACTGCCCTTCGCTTGTGGCGGATCATCTTAAATAGGAGCAGCAGGTGGGCAGGCGGGCAGGCAGCAGTCTGTGCGGTGAGCGGAGGGCATGCGGCTCAGTTCTGCTCCTCGTCCCGCAGCTCTGAGGGCAGGAACTTGTACTGCTGCTGCCGGATCATTGCCAGCTTCTTCCGTGCCTCCTCCAGCTCCCGCTCCTTGCGCAGCATCTCCTCCTGGGCGGCGATAATCTGCCAGGACAGAGCCCCGAGGTCACAACTGCCTCCCACAGGGATGGCCAGAGCTTCTGACACAGCACTGTCAACCCCAGAGCCGTGTTCTCTGGCTGCTGCTTCCCTTCCATCACAGCCACTGCCTCACTGGGCATGAGGACTGTTTGTGCCTGGGGTGGGAGCATAGCACTCCGGACATAAAGCAGAACAGCACAGCTTCTGGGCTAAGCCCCATGTGCTGTGTAGAGGGTCTCAGCACTAGGACTGTGACACCCCACACTAGGTAGATCTCGCCCTCTATCCAGTGTTCTGCTTCTTCCTTGTGCCACAAAGGATACTGTGGGCTCTGCACCAAGGAGAAGCCAGGGCTTTATGCTCCTGGGAGCATGCACCATCACCCCCTGCTACTTGTAGCAGGATAAGGTGAGGCCTCATTGTTTAACTGGTGCTCAGTGGTGTGGCAGCAGCTCTCTGGCCACAGAGCAAAACACAACTTTCCCAGGCATTGTTCTGGGAAAAGTCTGCGAGATCAGAGAAAAGAATGAGAAACAATTCTTAACTTGCTGCCCCTGTTGTTGTGAACATGTGTAATTTCTTAGGGAGATTTGTTTACCAAACGTTGGTTTTTTTAATTGGCCACTGGTGATGGTGTTTGGGCTAAAGGACCAATCAAGTGAACTAAGGTATAAAAGTATGGGTTTCTTATTAAGGATACATTGATCAGCCTTCTGTAATATGTAGAGTCTATGCCAATTATTACCCAGCCAAGGTAATAAAACTTGTTAACCAGGTAAAACCCGTTACAATGATACAATGGGATGGGTGAACTCACAGCATTTCTGTGAGGCTCTCTCAAGACATGACCTGTGCTGGTGAGTGGTAGGACATGCTTCTGAGACTGGCACACACAGGTGGTGGTGCCACCTAGAGCTGCTCCTGCCCTGAGCAGCCTCACACCTCACCTGTGCAATTCCTCCAACCATCTTCTCCTTCACCACCACCGTTTCATCATGGTCCTGGAAGGCAGCTGCCTTCTGTGCTGCCTTCACCAGATTGTCTGATGCCCTCTTCACAGCATTTCCAGCGGCCTGCAGCAGGGAGGAGGAGAGCATCAGTGTGAGTCACAGTCCTAGGGTATGACTGCTGTTCAGGGGTGTGAAGGAACTCTTGCCCCAGGCTGGGCAGCAGGCAGGACCAGCAGCCAGGAGTGCTGGGAGCTGCAGGCAGGGATTCCTTTACATGGCTCACTGCCTTGTCACCCGCTCATGACCATTTCAGGCGCTTCTGTTCCCAGCCAGGATCTGGCTCCTCTGAGCAGCGGGCCAGGGACTGGGAGGCAGCCCTACTGCCTCTCCCCAGCCCTGAGCCCCAGTGCTGAGACCCCATGTTAACCCCCCAACACATGGGCATTAACCTCTTGCGTGCCATAGCTCTGAGGATTAACGGTGCTACAGAACATGCCCCCCCCACATTAATGTTTATTTCAGGTATTCCTGTGCCAGGTTGTTGTTCCTGAATGCTGCCAGGCTGAGCAGCCCAGCAGCACTTACATGCCTGGCACACAGCTAGCAGTGAAATCCAAACAACCTGGAGCCTGTGTTCCAATGAACTTCCCACTGATGGTGTACAGGCAGGGAGCATGAGCCACAGAAAGCATCCACGTGCCCTCATGCCACTCCCAGCCACCCTTCAAACAACAGGGGCTGAAGAGGCAGCCTAGGACTTACCTGGAGCCGCTTCATGGCCTCCGAGTCATGGTCAGCCTTCACCTTGCAGGCCACCAGGAGCTGGGCTGTGGAAGCAGCCACCTGCTTGGCGGAGGAGATGAGCTTCTCCTCACTGGCATGGCCCTGCACCGCGGCATTGGCGGCTTCGCACAGGTTGTTGGTAGCAGCAGCCACCATGCGTGCCTGTGGCAAGAGAGGCTGTCAGGGGAGGTACAGGAGCCCTGATCGGTTCCAGGGAGGTTGTGGGGCATGGGATGGAAAGAACCAGCTTTCACAGCATGTGGGAGAGGGAGGAAGAAGCATGGTTGCTTCTTCCATTGAGGACAAGCAAGAGGGCAGAGCATCCGGTTTGCAGCAGGAGTCAAGAGGAAAGCTTCCCCCTCAATCCCCTGGCATGACCTTGATACTCACAGCTGAAATGAGACCCTGGGACCACTGTCCATCATCCACTGCGTTGGCTGGGATGGCACCTACCTATGAAGAAGGAGGGAAGAAACAAGGGTCACCACTCTGCACACCTCTTATCACAGGCATGAGGGTTGCTAGCAGCCCCAGAAGAAGGGAGAACCCTTCTCTACATTTTCTTCTTCCCCTCTTATGGCCTTACTTTTCCTTGGGCCACTAATTCCCGCTGGGCTGCTGAGGCTGCCTTCACCAGGGCACTCGTGGCTGCAGCAATGGATTTGGCAGCTTCCAGGATCTGCTCCTCAAAGTTCAGGCTCTCATCTGCTTGCTGTGGGCAAAAGTAGAGTGTGAGTCCTAAGCAGGAGTGCTGGGAAAGATGGAGCAGAACAGGAGAATGGCTGCAAGAGGCTGAGGGCAAACATATAAAGCTGGATTAAGGGCTATGGGGTGCAGTGGGGCATGGGCTACCCAAGAGAAGTCCAGCTGGGGATGTGGGAAGTAGCAGGAGTACAGGAAAAGGGATCAGTTGTCAGATGGGCCTTGAAATGTGGCTAAAGCACAGGCAGGAGAGCTCCAACCCACCCCAAGCTGAGCACGAAGGTCAGATAAGGCTCAGCACTGCTACCTTGGGCTTGGCTCTTGGTTTCAGCTGCTCCAGCTTCTTGGCTGCAGCCTCAATGGCAGCTGCTGCCCCCAGCAGCTCATTCTCAGCGATGACAGTGGGGTCTTCTGGGTCAACCCACTCTGTCCCTAGGAACACCGGGAAGCCAGGCAGGTTACACCTCCATGCAGTCTCATTTCTGAGTTTCTCTGCCTCCTCCAGCAGCTGCTGAACCCTCCACCCTAATCCCAGCCCTTGGTCATGCCCCTCTGAGCAGGATCTTTCCTTACCTTTCATGGCCTCAGCTGCCTGGATGAGCTCAGTGACAGAGCTGGCCACACGCTTGGAGTAGCCTGCCAGCTGCTGCTTCAGCTCGTGGGTTGGCTTCTGCAGGATCTGGGGGGAAGGAGCAGATGTAAGCACCTGGAAAAGGGGAACTTCATAGGTCTGTTTGGGGTGCGCTCCCCAGGGAAGTATGGTGGGATCCCTCAGCCCCCTCCCACATGTGTACTGTCTGAGGCACTGTCTGAGATGCTTTCTCAAGTGAGTTTGGCTTTGTGCACCAGGACAGATTGAGCTTCCCCAGGTCTTTGTGCACCAGGATAGAATGAGCTTCCCCAGGGCCCTCCTGCATCCACAGCTTCTGAGACATCTTACAGACACAAGACCCTCAGCACAAGCCTTTCTGAACTCAGCAGCCGTCCACACCAAGATCTCTCCCCTGCAAATCATTTCAAGCTACAGAAGCATATCCCCTTCACTGTCCCCATTTTGGAGGCTTGTTTGCAAACACAAGCTGGGCAAAGGGGGATACACTGGAGTGGCATCCCAGCAAAGGAGGGCTTGCCCCATCAGGATGAGGTGGCAGGCAGTGCCCTAAGGGTCCTCCCCTGGGCTGAAGGGACACATGCACACACCACAGCACACATGTGCACGCACACAGGGTCTGTATGCAAAAGCAGAGCTCACTGCTGGCCCAACTTGCACCAGACAGGCAGCAGCTGCCCATCAGATAGAGCAGGGGTGAGTACATAAACACAAACACAAGGACACCAGGGTCCCTGTGGACACACGCAAGTCCCACCCCAGCACTGGGCTGGGCACACAAAACACACCATGAGCACGGCTCATGCTGAGGTTAGAGACCAGCAGGCACCCCAGTGTTGCCTTACTCACCGGCTGGCAGAGAGGAAGAAGAAGAGAGAAAAGAAAGCAGTGAACACCTCAGCCAGGAGGAGGGGAGATAGGGGAGGGTAGAGGAAGGTGAGTGCTTTTCCTGAGGAGTGAAGGGCAGCCAAGACGAGAAGCAGGAACAAAGGATCAGAGATCCTGGGTGGGGAGCTGTGCTGCCATCATTAGCTCTTACTTCAGCCTTGCAGGGCCAGGCAAGACAGGGCACCTGGATGAGGCTCCCACAGCCAGGAGCCACCTACACTCAGAGTAGCCATGGATCCACTCTCCTCCTCTTACCCTTTACACCTTATTTCTCCCCACCCTGAATTGCTTCACTGCAGTTTTCAGCCACAGAATCTCTCTGCTTTTGGAGGGAGAGACCTATTGTTACCACATACTAAGTCCCCATGGAGGTTCAAATTCCTACCCTTCCCCAGTGAAATATGCAGGCTTTCCCACTCTGCCGGAAGCCATGTTTTCCAGCCTGAGACAAATAACCTTTATTCTTGAACCCTAACCATACTTGTTCATGCTCTGCAGAAGGCACTGGTTCCCTTGGGGACAAAGGGTACAGCAATGACCTTGCTGCTGCTGGGGAATGAGGCAGCACCTCATCTGCCATCTCCCCTCCCATTCCCCTAGATCCTTCCTGCTTGTGGTTTCCCAGGAACCTGCTGTTCTTCGATAAACAGGACCCTTGAGCTTCACTTCTGCCTTCGCAAACCAGAGTGCTGTGGAGACTGAGGTGAGTCATGGCTTTTTCCTAGCCTTGTGTTGGGCCATCCCAGCAGAGTCACCAGAGCAGTGTGAGGCTCAGAGTACTCAAGCTGATGGCTGGTTTGCCCTCATGAGCACATCCAGTCTAAATGCCTTATTATTAAGCTTGCTGTCGGCTCTGACAACACATTTAAAACTGCTAAATGATCTCTGTCTGCAGCTGAAGGCACCCCAGAGGCTACGAGCTTACTAAGAGGCACCTCCAGTGAACATTTTTAAGGATGTGCCAATGTATGATAGTCAAAACATTGCATGGCAGCAGGATGGTAACACCCAAAATACAGAGGAATGGCATGTTCCGGCAAGTAGGCTGACCTCAGGCACTGCCACACTAAGTCATTAGCCTAATCATCTGTTAACAACAGGTCAGCCAGAGAATTTCTACTCAGCACTCCAGCCTTGGCTGCCATGATTCATGTGTGCCTGAAGCATCTTCCAAGCAGACATTTGATCTAGATGCAGAGGATGGAAAACTCACCGATCCCTTTGGAAGTGTACCCCAGTGGTTACCTCCCTCAAATAAAACCACCTTTGACTTATCCTCTACTGAGCTTTGATTCCTAGCCGTCGATTCCTGCCCACCTCCCCCTGTTGCTGCCAGTGCTGGTTACCCTCTGCCTAAGGGGGCTTTCCCTGCAGGAAACCAGTTTGGGCTCCACCACTTTGTAGCTAGTGAACTCAGACAGCAGACTCTCACTAAACAGCTTAGTGCAACCTTGACACAGAGCTGAATCACTGTCAGTCTGTCCTGTTTGAGAGATACCACAGCACCATGGATTGAGTGTGCACATCCCCACAGTGCCCCTGATTCCACTTCTGTTGTCTTGCCAAGAATGCAAACTGTTGGAAGGACTTCACTGGATCTTTCCTACCATGCTAGAGGTTTAATTTACTTCTTGTAAACTAATGTTGCAGCTGAAGTCCTTGAGAGGACTCAGTCAGAGGGAGACTGGATCAAAAGGCTGTAGTGGGCGCTTGCAGTCATTATCTTTGCTGTGGCAGGCACTGTCCATCTCCCACACATAGTGCTGTGGCCATGACACTTTGTTTTCCCACTGCCTCAGGTCTATTATTCCTATCACATTTACTGGAAGCTGTATTTTTACAAGATTATGCTACCATGTTATTGATTTCCAGCCTCCATCTGTTTGCAGTCAGTTAATCTCCATCTGTTTTTAGCAAAATACCTTTCTTAGAGCCTGTTGAGCTCTCTGACATCTGCTTCCATGGCAGGGGCATAGACACAACGCTGTGCCAGCACAAGCAGCAATGTGGGCTGTGCAAAGGGCTCAGTGGGAAGAGGTGAAGAGCCCAGAGGACCTTGGGAATCTGGGGAACACCCAGGCAATCCACGGTCAGCCTCTGCCCACCCTGGGAACTGGAGTGGGGACACTCACCACCAGCACATGCTCCAGCAGCTCCAGATAGCCATCAGCACACTCCTTGCCGAAGCGCAGCGCCCGTTGCCGCACGTCCCCGCTCACCTCCGGGTGGTAAGCTGCTTCCTGCAATCCAGACACAGGGAAACCCCTATTCACATCTAGCACCATCCCACTCCACCCACAAATCCGTGCTAGAGATCCACACCCACTGTCCGCCCCACCTTGCAGGAGCGCAGCATGTCTGCGATGGCCCGGCGGCTCAGATTGGCCGTGGCGATGACATCCTCCTGCCGGCACGAGTTGCCAGCGGCTACCGCTTTGGCTGTGGCCATCGTGATGCCTTTCGTCATGCGGATGAAGTCCTCCGGGGTGGAGACCTTGGCAGGAGGCACCGGGGAGGAGAAGACCTGTGAGGCAAGAGGCAGCGGTGAGGCGTGCAGTGGCAGGCGAGCAGCGCAGCAGCCACAGCACTGCGGCCGTACTCACCGCCAGCTCCTGGCGAATGTGCTCGATCGTGGCCTCCAGTGCCCGTGTCCCCTTCGTGGCCTCATCCTCGACAGCCTTCACTGTCTTCAGCAAGGAAGTAACATTTGTCACCATCACCTGTGGAATGAGAAAGAGAGCCAGGTGAATCCCACACAAGCTCTGGCCTGTTGCCAGCACCTCTCCTTCCCCTGTGGATTGATCCAAAACTGCCCCATCCCCATACTCCATTCAAACTGCCTCAACTGCTCCTCTGCAAGCTGTGTTCCACCTTTTACGTGTCCCTTCCTAACCTTTTGTCCTGTCTGCGCCCCAGTTGTGTTCCTGTGCTCACACAGGCAGAAAAAGACCCTTCTCTTTCTCCATCCCCACTGCTTCCTCCCCCTCCTCCCATCACAACCAGCACAGACCTTGGCAGAGTTCTTCAGCTGGTAGACAGCAGGGTCATCTCCAGCTTTGCCAGCAGCTGCTTTGGTGGCACCGATCAGATCTCCAAGTGCCTTGGCCACATCCTTCACAGCATTGATAAGGACCACCTGGGGAAAGCAAGATCAGGGGAATGTCTGAACTAAAGTCTCACTTAGGCTGGGGGTGGTGTGGCCCAGCAGTGAGAGATTTGGGCACCACAGGGCACACAGGGAGTCCAGCTCAGCCACCACCATCCACAGCCCAGCTCTCTCTCTCCCCAACTCCTGGGATCCAGCCTGAGCACCACATGACATCTGCATCCCTCAAACCCTCCAAACAAGCAATCAGCAGCCTCCACTCAGCCCACACACCCAATCACACCTGGGTTTCTGGGTCTTCAGATCCCAGGCTGGCAGCACCCAGCTTCACCACCTCTGCCAGGCGGGTGATGGTGGACACAGAGGACTGGGCAGCCTGGGCTAGCTTCTCCTGGCTGGCTGTAGCGTTCTGCACCAACACCTTGGTGTCCTCCACCAGTGCCTTGGCTGTCTTCAAGATGCCCTCCCTGGAGACAAAATATGTGTCAGAGAGGACACAGCTCTCTACTGCACACATGGTCCTTGGGATACAGAGACACTGTGGATCCTGGCTTTCTCATGCGCAAGCTGGAGTTTTGGGAAATTGAGCCAGCACAACCGGAGCTTGAAGCTCTCCTTGGGGCTGGTCCACAGCTCAGAAGGACCACAGGACAGAGCTTGACACCCCTGTCTCTGGCTGAGCAGAGGCTGGACAGGGTGTCTGGGTACCTGTGGTCAGCAAAGGTCTCAGAGTTCTCCCGGTTGAGGGTTCCTGCTGTAGCAAACATGATGGTGGTGTCAAGGTCAGCAATGATGCCGGAGACAGCACTAGCTGCTGTGATGCAGGCTTGTGTCCCACGGTTCCCAGCCTGAAGAGCTGCCAGCACATGAGACACCTGTGGGGTATGAGTAAAGTGAATAGGGGAGCAAAGCAGGTTCAGGGAACTCTCACTGCACACACCTCCAACACCCCCAAGGGTGGAGCTGCTTCCTACCAAGGAGAGGAACTAGGAATATTTTGCACAACCCTTCTTAGCTTCCAGTTATTTATTTTTGCCTTGCACCTATCATGTTTGGTGGCCTAAGAGATGCTGGACTCAGTTTTCAAATTAGTAAGATTTGCAGATGCCAGGCACAACTTACAAGTGTTTACTGTTTTGTGCTTTTGCTTACAAGCACTGCTGCTCTACCCATATCAACTAGACTTTTTAAGCCATATTTTTTCATCTGTTCTTCAGAAGTGTGCTCTTTAGATTGACTTGATGGACAGGATGCCAGCAAAAGGTGGAGAATGATCACTGAGTGTGAGCTGCAAGCACTGCTGCAGATGCTTTGCCCAACTCTGCAAGAACAGATCTGGAGAGCCCTGGCCTGTCACCAGTGTGTAGGTCAGTTTTCCCAAGCAGGCTGCAGCACCTGGGCATCACACTCACCCACCAGATGCTGTTGTAGTGTCTGCAGAGGGGGATCCATCTTCCAGCCCATCAGCTGGGCAGGGGGAGTGTGGCCAAGAGAGCCAACAGATTCCAACAGGACCAGGAAACCACCCTTGGGAGTGGTGGCTTCAAGGGTACATGGCTGAATCCAGTATCCCTCCCACCTCACCATCAACCTCTTGACCACCTACTTTCTCAGAAACCTTGCGTGCAGTCTCTATCAGCTCCTTCTTGGTGTAGGCATCGCTGGGGCTGCACTGCAGGGCTCCAGCCTTGGTGACCAGGGCAGCACAGCCATGTCCCAGCTCCTGCACCCGGCGCTTGATGTGGGAGCCAATCTGCAGAGGAATGTGCGTGTGACAGAGTCAGCAGGGAACTAAGCCCTGCATCTGTGATACCCGCTGGGAAACACCTGCCACCCAGTTCCTCTTTCCCAATCCTCCCAATCAGGAGAAGGAAAAAGGAAACACAGCTTTGCTCCTTGTTTCTATGTCATGTTTCAGGGGAGGTGTGAAAGTTGCCTGCCCCCAGCTCCAATGGGAGGTTCAGGTGTCCCTGTCCTCTGTTCTCATGTCCCAACAGCCCCTGCTCTGCCCCACAGCACACTCAGCACTTCCCCCAGGATCGCACCTCCTCATTCTCAGCAGTGAGGGCAGCTGGCTTGGCCTCTTGTGCCAGCTGCCCATAGTCATGGGTGAGTTGGTTGGCCAGTATGCCCAGTTCATCTGGGTTGGTGGTGGATTTGGTGACCTGTTGAGGGAAGAAGAGCAGGAGTTGGACAGGGCAAGGAGGGCAGCAGCCTGACTCAGTGGAAGGCAGTGCATTCTACAGTGACAGTCATGTTTGCACCCACCATTTCCTGCACAGTCACTGCAATAGCCTTGGCTGTCTTCACCATTGTGGTCTGGTAATCCACAAAGGTACCTTCTGGCTCACCCATGGGCCCCTCGTCCAGCTGCAAGAGACCATCAGGAGATTCTGGCTCCAGCTCTGACCCACAAGGTCTTTAGCTTATAGGGTTTGACCCTGACTCTTCCTCTCTCCCACATCCAGCCCTGTCCAGGTCCTCTCCTTGCTTTCCTCACCTGGTTGATGGCTTGGGTGATGGAGTCCACCATGCCCCCCACGACACCTGCAGCACTGGCTGCCTCATTCAGGGTGGTTGTCAGATCCTCCACTGCTTCCTTCATCATTTGCACAGCCTCTTCCAGAGCCTCCTGAGTGTGTCCAGCTTGCTGCAAAAAGAAGCCAGAGTGAGGGAAGACAGGTGGTGGCTCCCCTCCCAGCATGAATGCTGCACACTGACCCTGGGTTTTCTATGTCTGGCACATGTGTGTGCACCATGCAGCACCGACATGCAAAGGAGGACATGCCACTGACATGTGCCCCTCTTGCTCACCTTGGGGTTGCCACCAGCCTCCTTGGCTGTGTACAGCATCTGCAAGGCAGATTCAGCCAGTGTTTTGGTCTGGTCCAGGAGGTTCATCTGCTGCTGGTGGTTGGGTGTTTTGGAGGCAGCACCGACAGCTGCCGTAATGAGTGGCTCGAAATACTGAGCCATCTGGGACACCTAGGGAAGGACAGTGTCAGCACCAGCAGCTTCCAGCCCCAGCTGCATTGTACCTCTCTTCCCCAGGTACCAAGTGCCACACCCCCATTATTACCCTGTGCCCTCATTACCTTGTGCCCCAGCTGCGAGGCCTCGGCCCGTGCCGCAGCAGCCACGGGCTCGATCAGGTTGCTGATCTCCTGG